GGAAAAGAAATTCCTACGATGTATCGCTATTATATACCTACTTCTCCTCTTAGTAAATCTTCTCAATGCCTTAGTTAAAAGTCACTAATCGATCTGAATATATAGGTGCAACTTTGTATACACTGTTGGTTTACACATTTGTAGGACGTCGCTACCCYTTGAATTCACCAATCGTCGAAAAGTAGTAAGAACATTTAGTATCAAGACATGTATGTTGTACATATAAACTATATTGTATTATGTTTTCATACTTTACTGATATATCTAACGTTAAAATTGAAATTAAAACTTTTGAGGGACTCACCTTTGGTCGACGTTTGATGGGCGTTGTTGAGTTTTTGATCGCTGTTCAACGCCCTGGAAAAGTGTTCATCTACCACGTTGGCAACGTCACCGGTATAGTGGGTGAACACCACGCAATTTACAGACACGTATTGCGCGTGTGCGGCGGCACGCCTATCCCCACGCGTTCTTGAGTCGTCCTGCACGTTGTCCTCGTCCTCATCCATTTCAGTGCGAACATCTACAAAAAAAACAATACCAAGCACCAAAAAACATAAATAAAAACTGTCTTTGAGAGTAAAAAAAAATAAAACTTTTTAAATCCATCATCATAATCTGTTCATTATGTCTCATTTTCCGTTTTCGTCTTAATTCCGTTAACGACATAAACAACAAGGAAAAAAACTGTTTAAAACTATCCCTCTTTTGAATACATTACCACCTCGTTAAGTCACCGTGGACTGAATTACAATTCGGTATAAAACTTCTGAAAAAGGAGGATTTATGTACCACAATTATGCATTGTATATTATAAAATAATGTTTATTAAGACGCCTCTGTGTTTTGCAAGACAACAGAGCAGATTAATCTCAATATCACGATGATAAAGCATCCTTGGGCACTTTAATTGAAGAGGATGCTTTAGGGCGATGAATATTGTCTTTGTGAACGCTTCTAAGTGTTTTAAGGATATTTACGTATACATCATGCTTTGTTTAAGAGCTGAATTATATAGCTTAAATATTTTTTTTAAACTACAAAACATCCTACTACTTTAAAACATTTTCAAAAATAAACACCTACCTAATTAGTTATAGGTGAACATTTATAAATTCTAAAGTATAATTTTTTTTTTAAATTAAATTTAGTTTAGTTGTATAGTACTTAGATGGTTGGTTATAAATACATGAATTACATGAATGAAAATATGAATTCACAAATGCATACCTATTAATAAGATAGATCATATGATATTACGTAATACAAGCTAATYACTAATATCAGTGTCTAAAATAATATTAAATATTAAAGTTATATCTTCAAGTAGGTATGCATGTATATTTAAATATATAATTAAGTTAGAAGTTACATTATTTTTATAAACCTTAAGAATACGAGTT